TTAGTATTCTCTATGAAAGGAAATAATGCTCTGTATAGTTTCCATTAATCTTGAATCTCCCAGACCCTGCCTGATTTTGCGCTGATTTTCCTCTATCCACACAGGGCAAATGCCCCACTCGTCACATTTCCGGCAACCACAACTCTCTATAACAAAGCTATGAAACTCGAAGTAAATGAAATAATGTTAAAAAAAAAAAAAAAAAAAAAAAAGGCAGTCAAGGTTTCTGCATCCTGAGGCCCCACTAAAAGCGAGGCATGCATTTAATCACTCATTTGTTCATTCGAACCTATACAGCATGCCCTGTGATTCCCACCATCTCACAGCCTGTGTGGAGACACAACATGGCATTCTCAGCATGACAGAGTCCTGGACAGCAGCCGCCCCCGAGGCTAGAGGATGGGCCTAACAATGAGGAGACGTTTACCACATGGGGACAGAAAAAATGTAAATGCGGACCTGCATATGGCAACTGACCAGGGATGGCAGGACAAACATGAGCCAAGAGGGTGGAAGATGTCAAAGGAGGAAAGTCAAGAATGTAGGTGGAGACGCCAAATGTTCAGAAAGGATGGAAAGGAAGCCACGCACTTGTGCTGTCACTAGGTAAGTGATGACTCAGGTGAGAGTCACTTCAGTGGTGCACTGGCGGTGGCGAAAAGCAGACAGCAGGGGATTGCGAAGAAAATGGGGGGTGAAATTGAAGGCAGAAAATATTACTCTTTTTAAAAGTCTGGAAGTAAAGAAAAGAAGACAGGACTGTAAGTATGACCAGTGTGGCAAGATTTAGAAGAGCTTTTAAGGAAGTGAGAAGGATTTCCCCACCCACTAAAGATACCAAGTGGCAATAAGACATAGTGGCCATAGGCAGGGAGGCAGACAGGCATCAGCAGGGACAGGCGACCATTTGGATGGAGAAAGGAGACCCGAAACACCTGAAGCAGAGGCAGAAACAACATGAGGGGTACGCATTCAATAAAATTCCATTCAGCCAAGAGGCAAGCAAGCACTCACGCCTGCTACAACACGGATGGGCCCCGACGGCACGACACTGAGTGAGAGAAGTGAGAGAAGTCATGTGTTTTATCATTCCTCTTGTATGAAACATCCAGAACAAGCTAATCCATAGAGACAGAAAATAGATGAGTGGTCGCCAGGGGCTGGGAGGCAGGAAGAAATGGGAAGTGAGCGCTTAAACAAGTATGGGGTTTCCTTTCAGGGTGATGAAAATGTTCTGGAACTGGACAGAGGTAATGACCACACTGCACTGTGAATGTCCCAAATACCATTGAATTGTACACTGTAAGATGGTTCCAACAGATTTTATGTTACGTGTATTTTCACTCACACACACACACACACACACACACACACACACACACACACACACACACCCCTGAAGCAGCATGAAACTAGTCAGCCCTCAGGCATCAAAGCGAAGGTGGAAGCAGTCAACGGCAGTTATATAATTACAACAATCTTCATAATCGTCAGTTATCAAGAAGAAGTAGGTTATGTTAACTACTAGAGTGAACACTAGGAAATTGCAAAATGAAAGCAATTGCATATGTTTCAATCTAATATACTCTCTTTTCAAAGACAAGGCACTCTGTGACAGTCTCTAAAGATTTCTGTCACTGTTGATGCCAGATAAATCATGCCTCTTACAATCCCAGCTGACCCTGGTTTTTGCTCCCCTCCCCCCACAAAAGTAGTCTCCCACTTGGGAAAGGCGGCTTACACAATTTTCCTTTGGAAAGGAGAATGTCTGGTAGGGAGAGCAGACAAAAAAGAATGCACACGTGTGGGTCTGTTTCTGGATTTGCCAGCTCTGTTCCAGAGGACTATCAACAAATAGATGAGTCCTTCCAATTACTGAAATACTTCTTCACGGGGGCACACGATACCCACTCGTCAATCAAGTCCAATGAGAATTTCTACCTAAGAGTGGAAACTGACATCACTGCCCAACTTTGACCAACCAGTGCTGCTCATGACTAACCCTCTTAATTTCACAAATTTTCTACATCTTTTTAATTGATAAAAAGAATATTCTACAATACCACTGCCACGGGAGGCAGGGATTCTTTTATTTTGATAAATCACCTCACATCCAATTGACAAACAGGAAATCAAATAGTCCCCATAGTGAAGGGGGCTTCTCAAGGAAGTAAAAATCCTTAGCAAATCATCCCAGTGAGATGCCTAAGATGGAGAACAGATTCTGGGGTGTCTTGGGCTTTTAAGCAAAATAAATACTTGAGGCAGGAAAAAAAAATACCAACACATCGAGAGGGCATTTCTATAGCATTGTTTGACCCCATCCACCCACACCAATCCTAGCTCACAAGTTTTTCTTTCTTTTTTTTTAATCTTAATTATCAAGTAGAAATAAGCTTTATGCTCAGTATAGAAGTACGGAAATAGGCCTCCAAATTAGTCTGACAGGAGTACAGGTCTCAGCTCCACCGCCTAGCTGTGTGTCCTTAGCAAGTTGGTCCACTTTTGAGTGTCAGCTGGTCTACAAAATAATAGCCTTCCTGTCTCAGAGGCATGTTGTGACGATTCTGTGAAACATGCAAGACCATCAGCTTGGTACATGTTTGGTGAATTATGATGCTACTTAATAAAGGACTCAGGAAGAACCCAGGTCCTAGGTCAGTGTTTACCCATCCCCTGTCAACTTCACCTCCACTGTCTTAATCCTAGAATGAAACACTCAATGTTTCTGTAGTATGACAATGAAAATTCTTTCTAAGAATTCCTTTTTTTTTCTAAAACCAAGGTTTCTGCCAAACAAGGTGGCTCTGGAGTATATTTCTAAACATAGCTGATCAATAGTTTGGCTTGACTACAGTAAGTAATAATGTGAAATGTGTGATTTTACAGAAGTAAGCAGTACTCCAGATTTGTGGAGATTATACAGTAAGAATAGAGCTGATGAATTAATCAGTCTTCTGTAGACTAAGGTTGTTTCTAAATCATTTTAAATGGGTGGTTCTCTCCAGTCTTTTGAAATAAACACACATAGACACTACATATATACTTTTATTTATTTCAAGGGAAGAATTACCCATAATCTTCCTTGATAATCATTATCATGGT